GGTATGGATCCGTTCCCAGACAACCCAGTATTTTTTCCACCTGAATCATTCCAGCTCTCGGTATCAAGTCTCTGGCTGATCCGCAGCAATTGCCGAGCAATCTGTGCTGATCGCACCTTAGCTTCGCCTGTTCCGGATCTTCTCAAGTTCTCCAGGAGCGTTATCTCGCCTCGATTGCTCACTCCATCCCAACACTCGAGCAAGAAGCGGGCGTCAAGCGCCCGACGTCTTTGGCGATCCAACTCCTCTAACCTTTTTCCAGTCTCCACTGCCATATTTCCAGTGGCCCCGGTAAGTTCCGCACCGGAGAGCCCTGCGCCATTGAGCGATGTGTCGAGCTGCTGGAACGATTCAATTGTTTGTTTCAATTTTTTGCCCAATGTGTTAAGGTTCTGGGAGTGCTGTGCCTCCGCCCTTCGGACTGCGGCCGATAATTCATTCTCTTTGATCTCCAGGTCGCCTGAAATTTCGCCCAGTCGTCGTTGTGCGTGCTCAAGAGACCGGATAAGTGGTTTGGGGTCAAACGGTTGGTTCCCGGTTGCGGGGTTGAGTGTAGAACGACGATTTGAAATAGCGGAGTCAGAAAGCGCCTCAATAAACTCCTTGACGATGAAATCGCGACTTGAAAAGTCCTCAAGGGTAAAGCTAGGGCCTTTCGGAAACACTGTTCGAGACGCAGCGTTGGAAGGGGGAATCATGGACACATCGTCCGGCATTTTGGGTACTATAAGCTGGATTTATCTGCATTGATATCAGCATGGGGTAGCGCTCAATATGAGATTCGGCATAAAAGCGGCAACTGATGCTTTTGATTGTGCTTTGAAAGTGGATGAATAAACAGCGCGAGTTGCAGAGTAAACCTATGTACAAGTACTAGATAGGTGGTCCATATCGGAATCGACGGCTTCCTTCCACACACCCGATTACCTAACCACAGCACAGCATAACTTCGTGGTGAATGGTGAACTAATTGAACAATGCTGTACGGAGTTCAGTATGTGGCCACATGGTAGGTACTGTGTAAGGCTACCCCCAATAAATGTGACATTCATGTTGATGCTGTCCTGGATGACGGTAAATCCGTTTACCATTGTACGCGGTCACTCATATATCTTACCTTACACAAGCATTCATCCAAGCCAAACGAAACCAACACTTTTTATGCAACTAAACGTTGCGTAATATTATCCAATAACATATCCGCTCTCCCATCCTTCAACATACCATTCTCTACCCATTCTATAGGTACCTGTGCGTGTCTGTAGAAAAAAAAAATAAGTATGCATAAAGCGGTCCCCGATTCAGGTACTTACCACTCACTGCCCAGCCCACTACATACAATCTACTTACGTAGTACTCCGTACATAGTACATAGTACAGGTCCGGATTCCGCCCGACCTTTTGGAGGACCCACCATCACCGGTTCAGGCTCCCGAACTTCCCCAGTAGTCATACATATTAAACACAATCAACCATTTGTTGCGCACCTGAAGTCCCTGAGTGGAACGCAGCCACCAACACCGAAACATGGTTTCGCAACGAGATAAGGAACTGTTCAGAGATGATGTTCGTTCTCGAGGAACGAAGCTCAGTGCTGCTGATCGTGAAAATCTTCTAAGGCCATATCTGCCAGATCCGTCTGACCTTCCACGCCGGCCACCTCAGCGGCGCAAGAAGGCTTCCCGAAGAACACCTATACGGACATTTATCAAGTCACAGCTGCATCTACTCACCTATACCGTTATTCATATCATTTTCGGAATTATTTCTCGACTCACCCTAAGTTATCATGCTGTTGTGGATCGAATCTTTGCCATCATTTATTATCACCACCGAACGCCAGAATTAATACGAAAAGATGTGAAGAGCTTAAAGCGCTTGCCTGAACATTTGAGTGTCATATTGTCACTGCGCAAAGAAGACGATGCCCTAGCCATTTTAATGGACGAAGTAGCAGAGCTTGCAGCCTGGAGCGTGAGTTCTGGAATACCTGTGCTAAGTGTATATGAAAAGACCGGTAAGTAGAGTATCCAGGTCTCCAGGGCATTCAATGAAGTTGACGGGGGAAATAAGGGAAGAAAATGGGATTATAGCTAATCAAAAATTATCTATTCATACAGGTGTTCTGAAATCCTGCATTCCTGTCCTTTACCAGGCCATTATGAGCAAGTTGTCTTCTTACTACGGTTCTCCGGCGCAGCAACCAGCATTGCGACTGTTTGCTCCTCACCACCCAATATACAATCAGCAGCAAGGTGTGGCGCCTTCCAATACGCATAATGACAATACTCTCACAATACTTCTCTTGTCTGCCACAGATGGTCGAGAAACGTTTGTTGACTTGACCAAGACGTTGGCGGAAATGTCGCAGAGTGGTAAACTCTCCCCAGAAGACATTACTATGGAATTGGTCGACGCGGAAATCAGTGAGATCACTACTCAGCCCACTCAAACAACCACATCCGCCTCTCTCGATAGGACAACGATGGGCCCTAGTCACAATGTCTCCCTAGTGAAGCCCGAGCCTGATCTTCTTCTGGTTTTTGGCCCATTCCTGAAGCTGGATGGATACCCACCCTGGCATATTCGACTTACCGAGATGTTCTGTACCGGCGGTAGGAGTAGTGGGATAACTAATTGCGACGAGGCTGTTGAATACCACGGCTTTCTCAGGGGTCTCTGGCATTATGCTGGTGCTCAGATGAGGTTCGGTCGATGAAGATGGTCTGTCATGTTTGTATTTCTGAACATTTTCTTGTTAATGTACCTGAATTTCCATTCGAAGATGGTCCATATATGCAGAAGGCGAAAGGAAAACAGCGGGCGCTAGCCTCCTTATATCCATCGGGGTACTAGGCTGCTTTGTTCGACGATTCTATCATACATATCAAGACCGAGAAAGACTGGCAGGGATGTCTGAGAGAAAAATCATACCAACACGGGGGAGGTTACCGGCACTGTGATGGGTGTGATTTATATGCAACAAATTTTCTGTGACGAGATTGGTGGCCGGGTATCTGCCTTCCTTAATTAATCATCTCATTGAGCATGTAGTCGAAGTGCGGGATGTACTTCCTAAATATATCTGGTCATCCGCTAGTAGATTACATCGAGCATTAGGTTTTCCGGCTTCCAGAGATACATATTGAGGCCGGGAAATTGAGATCCCTTGTGCACCGGGAACAACAATAGTTTGCTCCAGCCTCCTGTTCCCCTATTTATTGTCCATGTAAAGCTTGTTCCAAGGCCCCCGTAGCTCTCCTAGTCCGGATGAACTGCCTGCCATTGGGATTGAAAGCCTCGTACACATTCGAGGCACCTTATTACTTCCATGCCCGCTTCGGTCACACCTTCAACTGCACAGGCCGAGCAAACCTTCCGAGCCCGCTCGGTCTGCACTCCGTCGCCGTTGGCACTTTCTTGAAAGTTGCTTGTAGGGATTTTGACTAACCCGCTGCAATCTATAGCGTCGCAATAGCGGAGGCATATATAGCAGCTCCTCTGACCACACAGATCGCAATCTGCATAGGCATCGATGAACTCCCGTGTCGTTGGTCTCCTGTGACAGATATGGCACGGACGTAGACAGAATGCAGATGCACAGAGGGTTTGCGGTTGCTGGTAGGGGTTTGGAGAGATGGTTCTAGGTGATACTGGCGGGGAGTTGGCATCCAAAGCCGCAGAAACGCAGACGTTTGTTGACGAGGTCTTAGTCTGGGACGAGCTTGACTGTATCGTGTGAGAAAGATTATCTGTAAATGGCGGTCTGTGGTGAGTATGTGGTTGTTGGACTCGTCGTTTCCGGTGAAGACATCGCTGGCGAGTAAAGATCTCTCTGCTGTCGTCTGAGAATTCCGGATAGTCTAAGCGGAATTGCGGGTTCGTATAATGAATGGACGACGAGATGAGTCTGATAAGTCGAGATAGGTTAGTCACTTGCTGCTAAGAACTGCTAGCCACTTTGTTCGATCCGTTGCTAACCTATTTGACGGCGTTGTGATGTGATCTGTCTGAACTGATTCCCTCTTCCGTTTTCTTATAGTCGGACTTGCGACAAAGGAATCACATTGATCAATGGGAAGATGTGGCATGAGGTCTTCAACTGTAGTCGTTGAATAATACCCAGGCAGGTTCATTGGGAGACAGGAATAAAACGTCATTAAGCACGTACATTAAGCGAACATAAAAGAGGTACTAGTATATATAAATTGGACTATATGATCAAGAAGATGAAGCCCCTCCAGACCTAGAGGGAGAGCGTGTAGTCTAAGATGACTGGGATGCATATGATCTGGTGAAACACTTATCGTGGCCCTAAGCCGAACTAGTGCGTGGTATTATCCCAGCCATCGCAGCCAGCTTATTTCACTATATAATATACATATATAATTAATACATGCTCTAGAAAGATAGGCCACGCTTAGTCCGTACTTAAGTAGTGGTATTCCTACAATTACCCCAATATGCAGACCAATGAGGGCTATTAATTACTGCCCATAATGCTAAGTACTTCGTAGGTTTGATCACATAGTACCTCGTTCAGGGCAGGTATTCTTCTTGCTATACTGAGTATCTAGACAAGTCTAACAAACAGGATATAACCTGTAGAAGGTGATAGGGAGGAGATAGTGGAGTGCAAGGCGTCAATGTGGTGGTCTCTTACTGTGAACAACGGATGATGCTTCCTTCATGCCCCCTATTACTACTATCCATATTTGGTATTGCCCCTAATGCAGCATCTACGGAGTACTGAAATGCATTATTCAACATGTTGTGACAGGGTTGTGCATCTGTTCCATATTATTTGCCCAATTACTTTAAAAAAAGCCTTTGGCTCGTGTAACATACAGATTAGTACATATACCTATTCAAACACATCTTGATTGATTCATGATACTTTAAGTGGAAAGGTCAAAAACTCGCCTCTCAGCACTTGTTAACGGTCTCATCTCATAATATGTACACATATACAAAAAGAATAAGATAGAACTTTATAGCCTGTCTCGGTGGCGCAATTGGTAAGCATTCTCCCTTAAACCCAAGCTCTAGCATCTTGTTAACATTAAAATAGGTTAGCGCGTACGACTGTTAATCGTGAGGTTGAGAGTTCGATCCTCTCCCGGGACGTCATTTTTTGTGTAATCCAAATCCACTTTACCATACTTACCATACTTTTTTTATATACTATTTATTACAATACACTCCCACTCCTTTGTATTTAAAAGAATGCTTTACGGTCCCACCCTTAACCTTAGATGGTTAAGAGTAATTCATTCAGCACACTTAACTACCTATTGGAACCTGATGGCTAGCAAAGTTTGAAATAGCTACTCCCTACGCAGCACAGAATTGATCAGACAAGACAATCTTTCACCGAGCATATTTAACAGTCTAAAGATGCAGAACAATAAGGATCATCTGATCTTGGTTATGCCTGTCCAGTGCGCGAGCTAAGTTGTATTCCTGCAGATCTTCGGCCTGATATGTACTCCACAAACCATAGCAGTTACAAGATGTTTCTCCTGGAAGAGTAAACAAGTCCACCTACTTAATTGATGACTGGCAGGTGATGTACTGCATGTTCAATATCGATTTTGTGGCGGTGATTGCCCATTTAATCACTCAGGGAATGATAAGTATAGTCCATATGACAATAAGAATCTTTATGGTTTATCCCCTAATTACTCCATATGCGGCCCAAATATCAATCACTAATTTGTTGAAGCTCCAAAATCACTATTTGCTTTCACCAATAGGAGCAGGGAGTCCCAGTAGGTCTTACCTAGATTAGCTAGGCATCTTCAAGCCCATTAATGGGCTAACACTTGCCCGGTTTTGATTTAGTCCAGGTGCGGGAGTTCCGTAACTGCGACTTCTTGGCAACCCGCCCTCCCTTATTCTCGCTCAGCCGATAGATGATGTTGATTTCTCTGAGCCTCGTACTCCTAAGTTCTTCCAGGGCCATGTCATTTGCATCTTACTGCTTGTATCAGCTTTGGTCATTGAACGGGTACAGCTACTGACTGGCTGACATACCCCTGCCTTAACAACAGCCCGTGCTCCATTTCCGACCGGAGTACGACACTATCTCCTGCCATGGAAACCGGCGTTTCTGAGCTAGTTGAGAGACTAGGAAGCGATGAAGATGCGGTGCGCAAGATGGCAGTTTTCAAGCTTCAGGGAAGCATTGGAGATCCTTCATTCGCTGATATCTTCATCGCGGAAGGTGGACTGGCCAGGTTACGCTACTTGACCTTACATGCAAGTGGTAACACCTTGGCATATAGCCTCACCAGCTTCGCAAGATTACTAGAAGTTGACAAAGGCTGGGATCTAGTAGATCAGGAAGTGGTTGAAAGAGTAGGTATTATAAACAAGCTCTCTGTCTTTTTAATATACATCCACATAATCATGTTGTATAATAGTGTACTGATATATTATACTGTCTTCTCTTTCCAGGTTGTTGAGCTTATAGTGACGCACCCACTGGTCAATATTCTGAGGGGTGCAATGTCTATCTTAGTCTCTATTGTGTCACATCCCTATACAGGTAACCATTTATCACAGGATGGGAACTTCGGTTTTCGTGCACTGAAGCCTGCAATTGCCATTTACCCGCAGTTCCTGGAAATGCTTGTCAATAGACTTTCATCTGCAGATCATGCACTTTGTGCCAACGCACTCCAGTTGATTAATTCTCTCATGCGTGACTCCATCACAAATGAGATAGATACAGAGTGGCCAAAATTTATCCAGAAGCTGCAGGATCTGGGTGTGATCAGGGCAGTCTACTCTCTCATGCAGGGTACTGCCTTGCAGGATCACGTGCACCCATTGATTGAATTTCAATCCCTTACCAAGGTCCTTCTCAGGAAATGGAGAGAGACATCTCTGGATTTAGAAAGGCCAGAGCATAGAAGGGCTCTGAAAGGGATTTACTTGGCCAGTTCACACGAACGCAGTCAAGACAAGGGGGCCGAGAATAGTGACGATGTACGACAGTCAAAAAGACACAATCCAGAAAAATGGAGGCGCCTTGGGTTTGAAACGGAAAACCCATCGACGCAGTTTGATGATACAGGATTCTTGGGGATAATGGATTTGGCAGATTATGTCAGGAACCATCAAGACGAATTCCAGAAAATGCTCTTGGAACAGTCCACGAAGCCTGCACAGCAGCGATGCCCCATCGCCCGTGCTTCGCTGTCAGTCACTTTGATTCTGTATCAGCATTTTGAGGTGGACAAGTCGGAGATGGATGATGCTAAAGGGTATCTTCTACTAGAGTCTCGCTCTAATCTCGATAGGCTATTTGGGCCTTTACTGTTGCATTGGACCAGATTGCATGTTGCAGGAGTGCATTCTTTCTTTCGTCTGTGGAAGGCTACCGGAGCCGAAATCGAAGATTACGGAAAGATTGTCGAGCTTGTTCGGATCCTAATTGAATCTGTTGTTGGCGGAGCACCTCGCACAAAGGATGTGCAAGAAGTGGAAGAAGAACTGGCTAATTTTGAATATGGCCGGCTCCGCGAACTGCAAATGGAGCTATTGGAACTCACGTATGAAGACGCGTGGGGCCAACATTTGCGACAGATGCGCGAAGAACTGTACCATGAGGCCCTCCAGTTCGTTAAAGAACAGAGAATTCGCTGCCTGCTGCAAGGTGCATGGTTCCCCAACGAGAGTCCACATAGTTCGGAGGCAGTGAACGAAAAATGCTCCTGGAGATACACACAACTTTCGCACAATAGGAGGTTCCTACACTTTGGTGATTTCAATGGCATCGAAGAAAAGTGCCCGGAGCTTGACGCTCTGTCCGAGAAGAGTAAGTGTGCCCCATCTCAGCGTCGCACATGGATCGCTTTATCCTCAAACGTCAAACTGACTGCCCTCGATACCTTCAGTCGACCTATCATTGGTGTCTTCAGTAGTGTCAAATGTCTCTGCTTCATCCAAGGATCACGGGGTCTCGACTGCAAAAGACATGGCTCACGCTATTTCCTATACGAAAATTACTGTTCACGGCTACCTACAGCCTGCACCCACTAATGGGGATGCCCAGAAAAGTAATGGCCACGGTCGAACCTCAAGCAAATCGGCGCAAGGGGAATCTGTGTTGTTGAGTCTTCGTCCACCATCCCCTAGCGTTGCGTCTGAATGGCTTGATGGGTTGCTCATGCTTCTCAATCAACAGCCTATCACGGCAGAGACGAACAAGCTTCTGAATTTAGTCAGCAACTACGGACTCAAGATTCGCCTGTTGAATGTTCGATTCGACGATGTAGCATTCGCAGGCGATGCTCCACAGGTTCCCTCCCGAGATGGCCTCGATGACAATTACTACTATGATGTATTTGGTGGCTCATGATAACATTTTTGTCAGTGGATCAATTGGATGATAACACATGTCTATGGAAATAATATATCTAAGAGGTTCTTCAAGTGACGATAACACGGCAAATGTGAACAAGGCGCATTGGGGATCATTGGCGCAGGGAATAGTGACTTGATTTGAATCTCTACTCTCCTGGGGAATCCGGTTGTCAATCCAATTCACTTATGTAATTAATGGTATGCATTAAATTAACCTATAGTATGTTGAAATAGTTCCAAAGTTATTCATGTACGGAGTACTTTATCTCCATCTTCCTTGTTGCGCTTGCTTGACTTTCTTTTTCCGGGCTCCCACCCGGTAATTATGTTTGATCTCTTGCAGAGGCGTAATTGATAAATCCGCTGGGCACTTTATTCATGAAGTGTTTTGCCTATGTTGGTGCAGCTTATGAGGCTTACTAAGCGCATTGCGTACCTTTCGCACGAGCTAATCATGGAGGAATCAAGGCTTCTAGTGTGGCTGAAATCAGCGGGCGGTTGGCTTGGTCAGAAACAAAAGTATACATACTCCGTACAGAGCTCCAGACTGTGTAGGCGGTAAGCCTACTAGTAACCGGAGTTTGACACCACAGCCATAGTTGGATCTACGTCAATTTTTGTCCAGACATGCCAGCATTATTGATGAATTTTGTCTGATGGCTGTTGTATTTCCTCGACCTGTTTACACCATCATAAACCTTTCATCACTCAGTAAAGCCACTACGATCTGCTAAATGCTCATTAAATCGGGAAGCAGAACGCTTGGTTCAGAACAAGGCGCTTATCCCATCGTCCTCCCTTCAACGGCCTACTTCAAGGCTTGCCATCACCACTAAGTTCTCCTGTCTTCCAGATATCTAATATCTTGCGAAGACGATGAAACGCAAACACCAGGAAGAAGTTACGACAACACACAAGCCCCTACACAGCTTCTTTGGCCCCAAGAATACCGAACAGCAATCCTCTAATCAAAATATCGATGATCAGCGGGATATGGAAACGGGAGATGGGAAAGATAGCAGCGATGATATGATTGAAGATGATTATGACTCGTTTGATGAAATATTTATTCGCCATATCGTGAATGATAGAGATATATTGCAAGACGACAGCCAAGATTATCCACCGAAAAGTTGGCATTCTAAAGACCAACCACCACGCTTGCCATGGGCACAGCAGTTTCCTCCATCTAATTTAGACGAACTGGCTGTTCACAAGAAAAAGGTCTCGGATGTGAAGGACTGGCTAACCAGTGCATTTGCTAGGAGAGACCGACAGGTATGTTATTCTTATAGCTGTCTTTGTGCTGTGCCAAGCCAACAAAGGAGCTCCTAGCACCTTCTATTGCTACACAGGCCTTTTCTTTGCTAACAAAAGTTAAGCTACTTGTTCTTCGTGGTCCTGCGGGAAGTGGTAAGACAACTACACTTTCACTATTATCGACCATGTTGGGTTTTGATATCTTGGAATGGAAGAACCCTTCACCATCAGAGTCTGCCACCAAAGCACATGTCTCAATTGCTGCTCGCTTTGATGAATTCCTGGAGCGCGGAAACGAGTTTCAGGGTCTCGATCTAGATGGGGTGACTAGTTCCCCAGAAGCTAGAGATACTTACAGCAATGCTTATGCTTCGCGGCGACGTGTCATTCTCATCGAAGAATTCCCAGCGCTTGCAGGCCCATCCTCTAGTTTGGCCTCGTTCAGACTAACTCTTTTACGGTATATTGCCATGATGGCGCAAGAAAACCCTCAC